TACATCTTATATGGGAAACCAAAGTTTAAGTAAATTAAAGAGTGAAATAAAAGATAATAGGAGATAGATCTGCAAATGGGAAGGGAACCAAGAGATGGGGGAGGGGAAGAAGGAAGGGGCCGTAAAAAGGATTAAAAGGTGTTGTGTACATGCACCCCATGATGAATGCAATCATTAAGTACTGCGGACATGGACCAATAAAAATAAATTAAAGAAAGAAGGAAAGAAAGGTGGGGGAAAAAGCCAAACGGCTCATATCTAATCCTCTTTCTGAAGCTGGCTGCTGCTCAGGAAATGCAGGACCAATACTAGTAAGCTCAGGAGTCAGCTAGCTCAAGTTCAATCCTCTCTTGCCTTCTACTTTCCAGCCCTGGAAGCCACTAAACTCTCATGCCCTCACCTGTACAATGGGAATAATAATAACACTTCTCCACCAGGGTAACTGTGAGAATTAGATGAATTAATGTGATTAGAAGAGTATCCGGGGCCAGGATTTAGCTCAGTGGTTTCGCAGCCTGCAGCGCAAGTGCAAGGACTGGAGTTCAATCCCCAGTACCAAAAAAAAAAGAAGAGTATTGGGCTGAGGATTTAGCTCAGTGGTTCTGCTGCCTGCCTTGCAATCACAAGGTCCCCAGTTTGAGCCCCGGTACAAAAAAAAAAAAAGAGTACTTAGCACCTGATAAAACATCCAGGAAGCATTCAAGTATGTTTCCAGGGCCCCGTGCACCTGAAAAATTCCCATCCAGTGATATTATTCTAGATAAACTTTTTCTTTCGCCTCTGCTTCCCTCCAGTCTATTCTCCATGTACCAATTAGTGCAATCCTTTTCTTTCTTTTTTCAATGCTAGGGATCAAACCTAGGACCCAGGATATGCCCCAAGACAAAGAGCAATCCTTTTAAAGGTTATGTCACCGGGTTTACTCCTCCCTCAAAGCAAAGCATCTGCTTAGAGTAAATTCCAAAAAATGAGCCCTGGCCTGCAAGACCCAACACTGACCTGCCCCATTTCCCTGCACACACCCTTGCTCTTCCTGGCCCAACCTTAGAACACTATACTATTGCTTCCTTGTCCTGACACTCTATAGACATCTGTGGGCTGAAACATCTCAAGGCTCTCCATAATCACACCATACGAAAGTAGCATTACTGATACCTCATTCTCTCTCTTCCCCACTCAGTTTCTCTTCCCAGCGCTCACCAATTGTCACAGATATTTATCTCTTTTCCCCAGCTAGAGTGTGTTAACGGAGCAAGGACTTTTGTCTAGTCATTGCTACATTCCTAGCACCAAGAACAGCTCCTGGTATATTATGAACTAGGTTAAAGTCAAAACACAAGAGGCAATGTTATTCAAGTTAGAAACAAGAAGCTAAATAAATACTACACATCAGCTACCAAACTGGCAAAATTTTTATACTTTTAAACTTTTTATTTTAGTGCTGAAGTATACTTCAAAGTTAAAAGTTTCATTTTTTAATCCTCAGTGCACACACAACTTAGCAAATCTGTAGATGTGCATACATTCACCCAAGCACTGAAGACCAACATAAAGAAAACGTCCCACACCTCAGAAGCTCCCTCAGCCAATACTCCCAACAGTCTGCTGCCCTCTGTCCCCCAATTATTCCTGCCCTTGAACTTCATATAAATGGAACCAAACAGTACACTCTTTAGTGTCTGACTTGAATTCAACTTTACATCTGTGACATTCACCCTCGCTGTTCCCTACACCAATACTGAATTTTTTTATTGCTGAGTAGTAGAATTCTGCTTCATGTATATAACACAATTTAACCAATCTACTGGTTTTTCTCTCTCTTTTTTTTTTTTGGTGCCAGGGATCGAACTCGGGTCCTTGCGCTTCCGAAGCAGGTGGTGGAACCACTGAGCTAAATCCCCAGCTAAGACAATTTAATTAAGGGAATGATGTGATTTTTCATGGGATGATATCAAAGTACTCCAGAAAGTCCTGTGTCCTGATGAGACGGTGGACATCACCAGGAAGGACCTTCATTGCCCTACTTCCACCCAGGATGCCAGCTCCAGGTTGGAAAGAACCTTCCCAGGAAAACCCTGCTAATTCCTCAGCTCAAAGCCCTGAAAGTATCAATTATACATTGTACCCTGCCTGGGGTCTCTTCCTCTCCCTTGTAAAAAGGCATAGGCGAACTGAGGGATGAGAATTCCTGAATCCAAAGGAGGCAGCTCAAGTTTAACAGCCTTAGACTTAGAGAAAGCTGCTCCACTCAGTCCTCAGTCTCACTGAAAAGCATCAAGAACCTTTCTTCTCTGACAAGAGAAATGAGGACAGCCTTTCAGATTTCCAGACAACTTGAACTGCAGGCAAAGTAAACCAAAATGTATACCAAGATGCACTGATTTCACAAATTTAAAAAGTTCATCTACTTAAAGAAATAAAATAATCAAGCAATCATCCAGGTAAAGGCAATTCACTGTATCCTCTCCTCCTCTGCAGGTGGACCATTTCTGGAAACCAAAGGAAACTTGACCGTGGGATTAAAGATATACCTTAGTCCTTAAGGGGCCAATTCTCAAAGAAAAAAATGACATTTGTTTAGTAATTAACACATTGGGAAGTTTGCTGTGTTAAAAATAATCACTCATTTCATGGTATAATAAGCACTGGAGAAAATACAACACTGATGACAGGAAAAACATATAGGCCCCAAATTACCAGTACTTCATTAAAAATTAAAGTCACTAAAAAGATACTATTTTTGTAGGGCAGGGCAACATCACTAAGTTTCCTAACTTTGGACAATTCATGTGACAATGCAGAAAAAACATACTTGTTTGGTCTCTCTATGCCTCTTTCAAGTGAGTCCTCTTTCTCTTCAACTTCGGTTTACATATTTGTACTTAAAGAATTTGGCTGGCCAGGGATTTAGCTCAGTGGTTCTGCTACCTGCCTCTCAAGTGCAAGGTCCTGAGTTCGATCCCCGATACAAAAAAAAAAAAGAAAGAAATTTGCATAACCAAATTCTCCAGAAAATACTTGAATAGTATTGAGTCACCTATATTAAGACAAAAAAACTCTAACCTATCAAATATCAACGTTGGACAATGGGGCAAATTTCTTACTAGTTCAAAACTTCCATTTCATAAAAGACTTTTGAAAACATGAGCACATAACCACTATGGATTTTGACTTTTATTCTACACAGAACTTAGATTTTTAGATAATCTCTATTCTGCTTGCTTAGAATATGTTACGGAAATAGAGGAGGTAGAAACAAAATTGCCAAGATTTGGTATCTTGAAATTTCACTTTTACATATAATCAAAATATAGGAAAACATCCGAGTAGCCTACTAGAAAAGAACTGTTCATCTTTTTTTTTTTTTGGTACCGGGGATCGAACTCGGGACCTTGCGCTTGCGAGGCAGGGAGCGGAAACACTGAGCTAAATCCCCAGGCCCTAGAAAAGAACTTTGGATAATTTATTCTTAATGACATGTGGCAAGGTTGCAACAATATTCCTCAACCATTTATCAGACTGAGATTACCTTTATACAAAATGAGGACACTGCCCTTCTTTTAATTTGACAGTTTGTTGTGCCTTTTCTGTACTCAGAATCGTCTAACCTGAAACCTGATTAAGTAAAACCAACCGTACGTGAAAAGGAAGCAGTACTAAACCGGCACTCACCACAGTAAAGAACCCTGTAATTTAAATGGTTTTCTCTCCCCGGACCAGCAGAGGGAGACTAAGACATCTGGCCTGGTCGCGCAGTGTTTCTGTAAAATTGGGGAGGGGAGTGGAGCGGAGGATGTATTTAAATGTCCTGCTGTCAATCAAAGGACACTTCCTACAATCACAGTCACCATATCAGCTATGACTCCCGAGCGGCTCTCGCCAAGACACAACAGCCAACGGTGCCCGGGAATCGCTTTTCACCTAAAGGTGACCGCAGGCTTGGCCACAACACCCAAATAAGGACTTTGAGAGCCCAACCCCAACTAGTTTCTTTGTTTAAATGCCTGCGAGTCCCTCCCACGCCGGAGTCAATAGGCTGTGGCACCGCCCTTTATTAGCCTCACACTTTGATTACAAAACACACGAGTCGACGGCCTGGCTGCTGAGACGGCCGAGTTCTCACAAACGTCAAACCCCAGGCGCGACGGCGACGGCGGAATCAGAGGACAACGTCCGCCACCGCCACCGCCACCGCCACCGCCACCGCCACCGCCTCAAAGTTGCCCGGCCCCGGGCCGTCCCGGTGTCGCTAGCACCCGGGCGCGGGCGATTGCACTCTGTAAAGTTTGCTCGGCGTGGCGAGGGCGACACGGAGGTCAGGAGGTGCTGTCCCCTCGCCCACTCCTCCCTCCGCCGCCCGCCGGCCGCAGGGGGTGTGTTGCGGGGTGGCCGGTGCCGAGGCCACCTGCCCCGCGGCCCGGCCAGCGATGGTCCCCAGCAGCGCCTCATCTGTTGCTCTGCCGACTCGCCGAGCCCCGCCACCGCTTGACGTGGTCCCTCTTGCCGCGCCCCTCCCGCCGCCCCGCCGGCCTAGAAGTTTGAGAAAGACGGGAAGGGGGCGCGACGGGACCGCGGGGGGCGACGCGCGGCCGCCCGGAAGCCGGGCAGGCGCGCGGCGGCCGGAGAGGCTCGGGCCGGAGCCCGGCTAGGCGACGCGGCGGGGCGGCCCGGACGAAGGGGCTGCGGGCCTCCGCTGTCCCCGCTGTCCCCGCCGCGTCCCTCGCCCGGGCTCCCCCTGCCAACTTCTCCGCCGGCCGCCTTTGTTCCTGTTTGTTGTGGCGACTCTTCGTCCGGGCTGGCCGAACCCTGGCGCCCCTCGGCAGCCTGCCCAGCGCCCGGTGAGCCCGGAGCCCCGCGCGCCCCTCTGCCCGGCCCGGGGCTCGGCGGCGGAGTCGCGGGGCGCGGCGCGGCGGCCGGGCCTGAGGAGACCCGGGGGCGGCGGCGGCGGCGGCGACGGAGGGTCGGTCGGGGGCCGGCGGCGGGACTGAAGGTTTATTTACCTGCCGTGGAACCAGTCCTTGCAGATATCGCACTCGATCATGAAGCGGTTCACGTCGTACGGCTGCCGGCACACACAGTACACGGGCGGGGGCGGCGGAGGCGCCGAGGCCCGGCCTGGAGCCGCCACCGACACGGCTGCCGCGGCCGCTCCAGCTGCTGCTCCCGCGGCCACCGCCGCCGCCGCTCCGGCCATCTTTAAAATACACACACACGCTCGCTCGCTGCTCCGCTCGCCGACTGGAGCGAGCGCAGTCGCCAGCCAGCGCCGCCTCCTGCAGCAGTCGGAGCAGCAGGCAGAGCAGCAGGCGGAGCGGCGGCGGCGGCGGCGGCGGCGGCGGCGCCTCAGTGCGCGCGCGTGAGCGAGGCCGCGGCGGCGGCGGCGGCGGTGAGATGGGGGCGGCGCGCGCGACGCGCAAGGCCCGGCCCGGCTGCTTCCGGCGCTGGGCGCGGGGCCGTGCTTCTCGCGCACGTCTTCCCTGTCGCGACGCGCGCTCCCTCTTCCTCCGCGGAGGCCGGGCGGAACGAGCCGCTGATGGGTGGCGGGCGGGCACGCGCGGCTCCGGACGGAGAAGCCGGCTCTGAGCAGGCCGGTGAAGTTCTTGCGGAGCGAGAGCGGGGCGAACGTCGCGTGTATGGTCCGAGGCGGGGCAGTGAGGAAGTTTCGGCCGCCTGCGTCGCCTCGCGACCTGGGGAGAATCGGAAGTCCTTCAGCAGCCGCCCACGGAGCACGCGAGGTGCCGCCCCCGCCCCGCGTGGGTCCGATGTGGGTGACGCGCTGAGCACTGCCCTGCGGAGTCCTCTCCAAGTTCGGGAAGCGTCACTTCAGATGCCCGGCGAGCAGCTCGGAAACCAGTGTGGATGGAGCCTCTGTGGGCGGAGGATTTGTCCCTGAGAGGAGTCCACGGATGACTGTCGCGGGGAGGACTGGTGGGGCTGGTGGAGAAAGGGATGGAAGAGAACCCACCGACGTGTTTATAAAGATCGTGACTTAATTTCTAGTGATTTTATCGCCACGTTGGAAAGATAGGAAATTCGAAATGGCTTTTCCCCGGGATGAGAGAGAGGCAACAGCAAGCGGATCGGACAGTACTCGGTGTGTCACAGGCCACCAACAAATAGTTGTGAATGAAAGATGAAGCAGAGAGCCAATGTAAAATGATAAACTGAAGAATGAAAACAGGCAGCAAATAGAGAAAGGTTGCCTTGAAATCCTATGAGAACTGTAAGGAATGTTAAGGATTAGTAGTGAATCGAGTTTGTAACTGAATGTCTGCAGGCACTTATATCGGTAGGGAAATCCTACAGCTCCCTAAGTCGTTTTGGTTAGGAAAAGTGAACAGGAGGGTTGGCTCTCTCACTACTGACAGGCAGCGAATCACAGGTCTTTTCTTGACTCTTAGTTATACTTTAGGGAGGCAGGTAATCTTCCTAAAGACTCGCAGAGAGAGCTGTAAGGTTTTATTTGGTTTTTTTATTTTTGATGGTACTGAGAATTGAACCCAGAGCCTTCACACTGAGCTATGTCCCCATCCTTTTTTTTATTTTTTAAAACAGAATCTTGATAAGGCTCTGAATTGCCCAGGCTGGAGTCCTCCTGCTTAGCCTCAGGCCCCCAGGGTCTAAAATTACAGCATTTTCCACCATGCCTGGCAAGTTTAGTTTCTTGATTCTGGATTCAATCCTTTTCCTACCACACCACAATTTGTCATATATATCACAGGAAAAGAAAAACCTGGAAATCATAGTTGACCACAAATGGAATGAAGTAGGATTCAGTGAAAGTACTAACAACCCTTCTGTTACTTCTGCCACATCTACTTCAGTCTTCTGTTTAGAAATGCAGCTAGTTTTTTTTGGGGGGGGGTGTTTGTTTGTTGTTTTTTTGGTACTAGGGATCAAACTCAGGACCTTGCTCTTGCAAAGCAGGCGCCAGAACCAATGAGCTAAATCCCTGGCCCAAATGCAGCTAGTTCTAAAGGTTCATAGCTGAGTGTGGTGGTAAACACCTGCAGTCCCAGCACAAGGGAGGCTGAGACTGGAGGATTGCCATGAGTTTGAGGCCAGCCTGGGATCCATAGTGAGTTCAAGGCCAGCCTGAACTACATAGTGAGAGCCTGAACATCAAGGTATATAAAAAGAGCAATAGCCCTGGCATGGTGGCACACGCCTGTAATCCCAGCACTGAGGAGGCTGAGACAGGAGGATCCTCAAGTTGGAAGCCAGCCTGAACTACATAATGAAAGGTTAAAGAAACTAGAAACACAAATATTTGACCTGAAGAAAAAAGGGGTGAAGTCTAGAACTCTGGATAATGCTAAAATTTTAGTGGCGTATTCCATACATAGTAATTAACCAGATGTGTTTGGATTCAGCAACCTGTTATCTCTGAAAACTTATGCTCGGGTTTTAGTTTTCTCCTTTTAAGAAAATGATAAGAATATCTGCTTCACAGGGCTGGGTGCATTAAGTGAGATAACAAACTGCTGAGTACAGTTCTTAGCATATATAGCTGTTAACCATAATTATGATTAATTATTTTTGTGACTTTTCTAATAATAATAATAGGAGTAAGGAGCAGCTAGAAAGTTAGGGTGAAGACTAGGAAAGTATTATCCCAGAATCAGAGGTGGACAGAATTTGAGGAAAAAAAATACTTTGCAGAAAGACACACAGCTCCAGGGCTGGGGATTTAGCTCAGTGGTTCTTCCGCCTGCCTCACAAGTGCAAGGTCCCAAGTTTGCTCCCCGGTACCAGAAAATAAAAAGACACACAGCTCCATAGCAAGGTTGGTTAACAAATGCCTGTGAGATGTCTCCATCCTGCTCCTCTGTGGAGGCAGGACCTGCAGCAGATCTCAGGTTTCATATGACATGGAACCTGGGTTTGTTGTTTTTCTATAGAACTTCACCTGTCCGTGAAACCTTTCTCTGACAAGAAAGGGTTCTTACTACTACCAGTACTTGTCTCCATGATTGTGCCTGCTAATCTCAGGAAAACAAGCATAGTTTGAGAATTTGACTTTAAGCCATTGTCATGCCTTAAATGATGATAATTTATTTTTGTACACCACTTTATACTACTTGATCTTCACAATAACCTGTCCATCTTGTTAAGTGAAGGGAGCAGGAAAAGCCTGCCAGTGACTGTAGTGAGAAAACCGGGAAATTTTCATTTTGCTGTGCCATAGGGAAGAGAATAATGTCTGAATGGAAAATATTGCCCAGGAAGACTAGATCCCGAAAAGGGACTGGAAAAAAGAACAAAGGCCCAAACCAGTGGAGAAAACAGGTCCAGAAATGCAGAATTCAGTAGCTTTGTTGACAGCCTAGTTGTTTTCACTTTTACTTCAAAAGCTGGGGAAAATTCTGCACTGATAGCTCAAAGTTAAGATGTTATTAAAAGAAGATTGTTGAGCTGGGGGTGTAGCTCAGTGGGAGAGCCCTTGTTCAATCCCCAGCACAGCAAAAAAAAAAAAGGCTGAATCACACTGAATGTATTCGATCAAGTACAAATATAAGAATAAGAGTAGTGAAAGTGAAGGCAAAACAGATAAGTGATATTAGAAAGGAAACTGAATCAAAAATGTAGGCTGGCATTGTACACCTCCTGAAGGGATAGCTACACAGTATGACTTTATGAAGTAGTCTTGCCAAAAATGTTTAGCCTAAGGAGCCATTAAATATATAGTTTACAGGAAATTCAAGAGAGAAAGCAACAAGTTGTATGCTACCACAAGGAAATAAGACGTCCAAAATGTGACACACTCCTGCAAGGACAACCGGTTTAGTTTCTTTTTATTTATTGTTTTATTTTTTTGGTACTGGGGATCGAACTTGGGACCTTACGCTTTCAAGGCAGTTAGCGGAACCACTGAGCTAAATCCCTGGCCCCTGGCTTAGTTTCTTTTAAGAGTTGTCTTTTTTTTACCCCTGGTGCTGCCGATTGAACCCAGGGCTCCACGCATGTTAACACATTTAAAATTATCATTAAAGAAAATAATAAGGGGGCTGGGGATTTAGCTCAGTGGTTCCGCGCCACCTGCTACAAAAGTGCAAGGTCCTGAGTTCTTTCCCCAGTACCCAAGAAATAATAATAATAAGAGGGACAGGAAAAGGAAGGAACACTCTTAGAGATGAGGGTTCTTTTTGGGGGGTGGTACCGGGGATCATACTCAGGTCCTTATGCTTGCGAGGCAGGCGGCGGAACCACTGAGCTAAATCCCCAACCCCTAGAGATGAGTCTTAAGAGACAACCAAGCATGGGCTGGGAGTGTAGTTCAGTGGTGCAGTGTCTTTCGGACAAGCACAAGTCTCTGAGTTTGATTCCCAGTACCAAAAAAAAAACCAGACAACCAAGGGCTGGGAATGTAGCTCTGTAGAGGTTCAGTGTAGTGCTTGCCTAGCATGTGTGAGGCCCTGGGTTCCATACCGAGTAACACACAACCAAAAACAATTCCTGACCCTTGTTTCAGATTCTAAGAGAGACAATGTGGAGGATACTTGAGAATTTTTAACCTGGATATGAGATAAGATTACGGAAATAGCATTATTTGATGGGGTACTGTATTGTGGTTGCTATAGTTTACATCTAGGTGTACCTCCAAAGCCTCCTGCTCACATGGGTGGGGCTTTTGACAGGTGATTGGTTCATGGGGATGTCATTGGTCCACTAATGTATTAGGCTGGAAGCCTGGTTGGAAGAGGTTGGTCATTGGGCATGTGGCCTGGAAGGCTGAATCTTCCTCCCTCCTCCTTTCAAGGCAGGTGCCGGAACCACTGAGCTAAATCCCTGGCCCCCTCCCTCCTCCTTGATCTCTCTCTCTTCTTCCCACTACCATGCCATGAGCTGTTTCTGCTCTGCAATGCTCCTCTACCATGCCACTGACTATGGACTAAATTCTCTACAAGCTGTGAGCTAAAATAAACCTTTCCTCTTTAAGTTGCAGGTGTTGGGTATTGTGCCCCAGCTACAAGAAATTTAAAACGGTAGTTTCGCGAAGAATGTCTTTATTTATTTTTTTTTTTTTTTGGTACTGGGGATCAAACTCGGGTCCTTGTGCTTGTGTCAGCAGAAACACTGAGCTAAATCCCCAGCTATACTGAGGTTTTTAAGCAGAGACATGGCATCTTATTTTGAAAGGTTCTGCACCCCTCCCAAAACAGAGGGTGCAGGAGTGACAGAGATGAATGAAACAAATATTAACAATTGATAAATCTGGGTATTGTTGTGTACATGGATGTTTATTGTACTTTTTTCAACTTTTCTGTATTTTTTAAATTATTCATAATAAAGTGTTTTAAAATATAGCCT